TTCGTGGTTGGTTCTTTTAAAAACATGATACATGTATCGAACAAAGAAAACAAACAATAAAAGTGATTAAAATTAACTAGAGGGTTTTTTTTTTTTTTGAAACATTTTACACTCATCTAGTATCAAAGCTCATGTGCAAGGATGGTTTGAAGACGATAGAGAATTTCAGCCGCCGACGGACGCAAACTCGGATCGATTGCTACACAAACATAGCCTAGCTGTGTAATAGAAGGAGGCCCAACCTTGGAGAATTCCACCTGCACTTTTCCCGAAGCAACCTGCTGCATCAACGCTGTGTCCGTAACTTCTCGTCCATAAGGATCGCGGGTTCCCTTTCTAGCATTCGTGTACGGAAGCGTATGCACATCCAGCTCCGACAACACCACACCGAATGAAAAAATGTCCGCTTTGTCATCGTAGTATTCTCCCAGCATCACCTCGGGAGCCATCCACAATGATGTACCGACACCAGCCGTCAGGGTAGTATCGAGACGCTCTTTGGAAATACCGAAGTCCGTCAATTTTGCTTCCATTGATCGTGACAGCAAAATGTTGCGAGACTTGAGATCTCGATGGACCACCGGAGGGATGAGCGAGTGAAGGTATGCGAGTGCATGGCACACTTGAAGAGCAATCGTTGCTTTCTGGCGATTGAAGCCAACTGGCTGGTGTTTTGCTTCATACTGGCTTAAGAGAAAGCGCAAGTCTCCTCCGTCCATGTACTCAAGAACAACACACACGTCGGATAGAGAGTCCCACGCGACACCAATGAACGTGACAACGTTGGGATGATCCATTGCTGCCGTCATTTTGGCTTCACCCAGGAACTGATTGACCAGCTGAAGATTTTCTCTCATGGACGGAAGCAGCATCTTCACAGCTACTTGTCGGCCATTGAACATACCGGTATAGACCTCTCCAAAGGCGCCTTGGCTGATTCGAGTCTGGATGCGCACCTTATCTCGCGGAATTCTCTTAGTTATAATGACATCGTCATCCCATAGCCCGGTCGTGTGTCTGTGTGGTGCACCCGGAATGAACGGTGGGGTTTGAATAGATCCGATACTTTCAGTTGGCTGTAGGGGACTCTGTCTAGATTTTGTATCAGATGAACGTCTCCTCCAGCAGAATATGAACACACCGAGGACTATAACCAAAATAAACACCCCACTAGTGATTCCTATGGCTGCAGCTGTGCTAAGTCCTTTCGAAGTTGACGCTCGAAGAGCAGGTGTTGGCGCGGGCGTCGTGATTTTATTGTCGTTGCTCGAGTACCACCGATTTCCATCGTAGTCGCATGAGTGGCCTTCAAGGGCTTCTTTGTCGGCAAAAAACGAAGAGTTCAAACTGTCAACTGGGCACAAGCCAGCGTCGTAGGTGAAAACGGAAGCCGAGCCGTCGTCTTCTAGTGTTGCTATAGCAAAGTCTGAGAATCCAGGTGAACCTTCACAATTTCCGGATGCAAAATATCCCATGGCATAGTTGAAAGCTATACAGTCATAATCACGGAATGCTTCCATGACAATGTAAGGGGAGTTTCCAAAAAGCTCTTGAATTTTCTTCATGTAATCAGTAGTGCAGATGGTGTTTAGCGCGCCGAGGTTCGTAGAACTCGTACTCGGATCGGCAATGCATTCAGCGTCCTGGCAGGTGAAGGATTCCATGACGAAGACGTTGTACGGTGTTCCATCGCAGCTTAAGCCCGAATACCAAGCATGCACTTCGTAGGTGACCGCAGCAACATGCATCGATATTACTGTGCCCAGCACCACCACAAGTAGTAGCTGTTGATGGAGCATGCGTGAAACTCGACCGGTGTTATCTCAGGGACGTGGTAAGATTGGAAATGTACCTGGTTCGCGAGACGATCTGTTCTCCTGAAATACTAACTAGACTCTCACCATTGGGTTCATTCCCATGAAACAAGCTTTACTTAAAGGTGGATGGGGGACCATCGATACCAAAAGAATTAACTGGATTCGAAATAATATAATTCGGTTGTCAGAAAGCTTGTCCTGAGGAGGGAAATGCTGCCGACAGTGGCAGGCTTGGTTCAATTAATGTGTGAAGCACCACATATGGATTCAACGGCGTGATAATGATTATGGGGTGCTAAAGTGAGCAGCGCTAAAAAGCATCGTTGTACTATTATTGTTTGCGCTACGGATATTGTCGGAGATTCAAATGATCGGTTCATAAGAAAATGCGTGCGTCGAGGTGCACAGCAAATTGTACAGACCTACCGCCGGGACACGGGTTGCCGTTGCCTTAATTCAGCTCCAACTTCGAGAGCAAGAGCGGGTCTGACCATGGACAGACAACTGGGAAATGAGCTCAGATCCTAACTTATTAAGTCAGCAGATACTATAGGTTCTTTACTGCCGCAATGCGTTTATACATTCACTGAGCTCAACGACACGGTACGTTGAACTCACAACTTAACTACTGTAGTATTATGAAAGCTTTAATTTAGTGAAAGGATATGAAACCTCGTACTGAAGTATCAAATGCTACTATTGCACAGGAAGTACTTAACTCTGACCTGCACAGAGTCTTCACACCACTTATAGACGACTTGAGAATAGCGAATCTACACAACGCAACAACGCTTAAAAAATGGGATTAAACAATTGAAACGGTGGTCAAACACCAATACTACACATATCGATGGTTTTCACATCTCCTTAGACAGGATAACTTGTAGGCGATACAGGGCCTCTGCTGCTGTAGGTCGATCGTTTGGGCTAAGTGATACGCAAGCTCGTCCAAGCTCTACTATACCAGTAGGGCTAATTTGTGAGAATTCCACTTGCACGATTCCCATCGCCACTTGCTGCAAAATTGCTGCATCTGGTAGTTTTCTTCCGTTTGCATCTCGAACTTTGTCTTTCGCTTGTGCATAGGGCAATGTATGCAAATCCAATTCCGACAGCACGACGCCAAACGAAAATAAGTCTGCTTTGACGTCGTATCTCTCACCTAGCATCACCTCAGGTGCCATCCACAACGAAGTCCCCACACCTGCTGTCATCGTTTGATCCAGCCGCTCTCTCGAGATACCAAAGTCAATAAGTTTGGCTTCCATAGCACGATTCAGTAGAATGTTCCGAGACTTGAGATCGCGATGGATGACAGGAGGCATGAGTGAATGCAGGTATGTCAATGCATGGCATACGTGCAGTGCAATAGTGGTCTTCTCTCTGTCGAAGCCAGTAGGATGGCGCGATTCTTCATACTTACTCAATAAAGATCGCAGATCTCCGCCATCCATGAACTCCAGCACGACGCAGACGTCGCAAAGTGATTCCCAAGCCACTCCAACAAACGTAACAACATGAGGGTGATCCATCGTTGCTGTCATCTTGGCCTCGGCCAGGAAATCGTTAACCTGCTTCAGATTCCCACGTGTATGAGGCAGCAGCATCTTGACAGCGACCCGATTTCCGTTGAAAACGCCTTCGTAGACCTCACCAAATGCGCCACGACTCAAGAGTTTTTTCACGCGAACTTTGTCTCGTGGAATGCGCTTGGCAGTGATCACATCGTCATCCCACAAACCGACTTGGCCGTGCATAGCCATATCGAGTGAAGCTGTGTTTCCAGATTGAAGACTGGCGGTTGGCTGTTGTTGCGTCTCTGTTTGCTTCACAGTCGATCTTCGCTTGCAGCAATAGATCACTAACACAATAACGACGAGAAATAAGAAAACTCCCACGATCATAGCAACAATCGTAGGTGTGCTGACGCCGTTGCTCTGACTATCGGTAGTTCCTTCATTATCAGTCGTGGTGGGGGCTTCAGCGGAGTTTAACGCATCGTCTCCATCGAAATAGTACCACTTGGTCCAGGAATCATCGCATGCATGCGTCGCGAGGCTGTTTTTGTCAGCAGAATAGGTACCATAGAACTCTGAGGCATCACACCTTGCATCGTAATAATATTCTAGTACCGCCGATCCATCAGGGTCCAATCTGGCAATTACATGGGCCACTTCGCTCGAATTTAGGTTTGGAGAGCCCTCGCAGTTATTCGACGCAAAATAAGCTTCGGCATATTTCAGAGTCTCGCAGTTCCAGTCATCAAAGGTTTCCACCACAATGAACGGAGAATTACCAAAGAAAGTTTTCATGCTGGTCTTGTAGTCAGAAGTACAGTCGATCGAAGCCACACCAACACCAGTTGCGCTCCAATTTCCGTCCTCGAAGCACGTATACATCGTGCAGCTAAGATCACTTTCGGCGTGCATGTTGTACGGGGTGCCTTTGCATGAGCTGCCGTCGTAGTAGACCCACAACTTGTACAAATGCGAGCCAGTCGCGTTGGATATCATTTGCGTTATCAGAAGTAGCCACAGCATTGGTGACTTGGTCATAGTACTATGGTTGAGTCAGCAAAATCGATTGTGTAGAACGCATCGCTTGAACCTGCGAAAATAAAAAGGAACTGCATTCTAAGCGTTTGTTTACGTTGGAATCGCCAGAAGTATTGTCAGCCAGTCTGGCGGTTAAGTGAACATGGGTACGCACCTATTTGGTTGCTTCCAAGTTTAGCAGGGATCCCTGACAGAGATTGCAAACTCAAGTTGAGCAGCTCAGTTTGCCTTCGAATGTCCGGGAAACCAACGCCTCCGCGATGGCCGTTTGCTCACACACCGGTAAGGTTTTGGGCTCGTGAAAACTCGACACAGTTGAGGGAAACTCACCCGTCGACTCGGCAGGCGATTATTCCTCTCGTAAATCACAAGTTATGATACGTTGCATCAGCATGAGTTATCCGCTTGAACCAGCACCATGAGCTAGTGTTGATAGTTTGGTAGTTCCGGTCATCTTCATAAAATGCGATTGAGGGAAGCAACAGAATTGTGTAGGGAAAAAAACTGCAGTTTATTTCCACCAATCAGCGAGAAGCTACATGTATTTTTCCCTTCTATTTCTGGCAACCGTGCCAGAAATAGCCGTCGCATTGCGTGCGCTCATTCTTACATAAAAAGCTCTCAGATTTACACGTACAGTTTAAATTTTTTACTGAGCCTAGAGATATTTAGAGTGTTCCTAATCGAGGGCATCTGAGCAACTGTCCTGCGGACGGACCTCATTCTTAGGACTCGTCTGATTCTATTTTAGCGCAGTCAATGGTGACCTGACGTCGTATTTAGTTCCGAAACGTTAGTCTGCTGCTCAAGTGGCTTCCCCGATGGGGCAGTGCAAGGACCGAAGCGAGCCTTTGCGGCGCCAGATGCGATCACTGGCCGGGTGCCTAGCGCTGGTGGCATTTTTAGGTACGGGCTACAGGTGCCTAAAATTCAATGCCTATTCCAAGCTTATTTCAGGGACGACGTGCCTTGTGTTCCCGTCGGGCGATATCACCGTGGCCAAGGTTCTGTGGCTCGTGTTGGGAATGGGACTCGCTGCTGTCCACCTTTGTGGCCTGTTGGACAGATGTAGACACAACAGGACTTCATGTAGACAACGATTGTATCTGATGGACAAGTGCAGTCTTCGTTCTAGAACACCAATTCTAATTTCTGGAGACAATCTAAACAAAATTCAAGTGGATACGCCGCAGTTCCAGGGACAAATGGTCATTGCAGCAAGTCGCAGCAGCTTCGGGCTGCAGATACAAGGCCGATTTACAAGAAGAATACCAGCCAACAGCAAATTATTCCTCGCTCTGGAATTTCCAGCGCCGATTAAAGATTTGAAGTGGACACTGAGAGTGATGCTAGCTGTGCTAAACAAGTTCTGGAGGTCGAGACGAGGTAAACCCGAGAAAGATGATGTGGAGATACCTCGTCTTACTATCCCGATGCTGCCGTGTGAGAACTCGCACTTTGGTGTGGAATTTAGTGGACGAGCTGACCCACAACCGGTGAAGAACTACACAGTCGGGAAGGTTTACACTCTGGAAGCGGGCATTACCGATTGGAAGTGGAGATACCTGGCCAGTTTGATACTTGCAATCTTCATGAGGCTTCCAGTTGAGTGGATCCCTCCTGTGCATCTAATGGGGTTTGTAGTGACGTCGTCAAAACGAGACCCGCAAGCACTGAAGCAGTCTCATCACAATAAGCAATACCTGTTTTGCTTCTCTGTGCACCATCAAAAACTACTGCCAGACGTGGATACTCAACGCCTTCGAGTTTCCCTGAAAGATGGTCCGTTTCCAGATTTCGAAGTTGGCTCTCCTATTGCGCTGTATAATACCAATGGACGACGAGGTGGCGGTGTGCCACTAGCTCATGCGGAAGCGTGTCGACGGATAGCGGAGGATGCTCGTGCATTGAGCAGATTACGTTTTTCACTCGATGTTTGGGTGGAGTTCGTCGATCGCGTAGCAGGCCGCCGTAAAGTGGGGTATCTACTGGAAGTTGTAGATATGACGAAGCAGATTCGACGCACAGTAATGCGCAGTGCTACAACCGTCAAGAATGCGTTACTTCTTCTGCGTTTGGAGCATCAGATCGACAGGAAAGAAACGGAACGTGAGACTGGCATCTCTGAAATTGAAGAACCAGGTACGGACGAGTCCGTAGACTTCCAGAACTTAAGTGTTGAGTCGCGTGAGTATCGTTACGAACAGATTGAAAACGAGACGTCAGCTGTGGCTCATGTGCTCGACCAAATAGCGTCAAAGCCATCCCAAGGGCGTCTTCGGTGGCGACTACCACAACGCTGTTACCAGAACCAGTTGGAAAAAGCCACTCTCTATCGCTGTTTAATGTCTCCGTCGCGGTTGCCTTCTGTACCGAGTTACCGAGCAATTGGTGTGAAGATAAACGAGTCTCAACTCTTGGCAATGAGTGTCGTGTGTGAAGCGGGTATTTATCGTCTACATGGCGCTGGAGACGGAACGACGCCATTGCTACGTCAGGAGTGGTTTATTGTGTCTGCAGACCATCTCCACTTCTTTCGATCGTACTCGGTATCTCCGTCATTAAGCATTCCCGTCACCAATGTACTCAACGTTCGCAGCATCGATCACGTGGGTTTACTGAATGGCAACAAGCCGGTAGACGCCCACCATGACCAAGGTGCAGTGTCACGTTGGTTTTGCTTGGAAATTCACCTCGTGCTCGAAGTTGTCACGCTTTTTGTGGAGACTCAGGCTGAGCGTAACAACCTAGTTGCATCGTTACAACCTTTGACTATAGACGACTGCGATCTCCATGTTAAGGCAGAGGCTGTTGCTGCGTCGCCTCTTTTTTCTCCATTAACATTGGACTCTCAACACCAACCTGTCTGTCTTAACCAGCGCACACCTCGAATAGTTGACGAGTTTCCGACGGAGATGAACGTGCCAACAGCATTGAAGCTGGTGAAGGAAAGTTTGGCGGATGGACTCAAAGTCTTCGCTCTGGGGGAGAAAGCCAGTCGACTTCGTATCAACAGAAGCATCGTTCTTGCTTTCCTCGACAAGGTTGAAAAACTGAACAGTCTCGATCTGGAAAAATGTGCGTCTGGAATGTCCAGTGAAGATCGATTCGCATTGGGACTGAATCTGTACCACACGCTGTACATCCATGCAGTACTCATTTTCGGCTACCCGCAGTCACATGAACAATGGAAATTGCTGCAAACTGTACCGTGTTTTCTCATGCGAGTCAATGGTGGTACCGAGTCTGTAAGGTACGCGTTGACTGACATCCAGCGTGTTATTCTTCGCTGTCCTGTGCCGGTGAGTTTGGAAGCCTCCAGTATTAAGCGGAGTTTATCCCAGAACGCACTCATGGATCTCGCTATTGGTGGTGGAGACGCTATCGATGGATTGTGCAGAGCAGTCCTGGGTGTAACGTGGACGCCTGTGCTGCGGAATAGCAGCTCATACGCAGCTATTAAGAAAATTCCACTCCCGATTCCAACTAAACTGACCGTTGATAGCGTAGATATTCGCACGAGTTTGGTGCTTCAGATCAACAGCTCACCTCCAACGCCCAAGACAACGGGGGTCATGCGTGTATACGACGGTGGAGAGAAGCTAAATGAGCAGCTGAACGCTACCTGTACAGCTTTTCTGAGTCGCGAGTTGCGCTTGAACGAAGTGAACCGCGTGATCTACTTGCCTCGTGTCTGTGAGTGGTATCGCATTGGTCATCACGAAGAAAGTGACGACCAAGACAACCGACGAATGAGTCCGCTGACTCAACGTCGTCGAAGAAGAAGTAGCAGTGGAAGCAGTGGAGTGGCGGCACTGCCGACATCCAGAGGTTTTTACTGCTTACAACGATTGCTCGGCTACATGGAAGTGGAACAGCATCATCGTGCGATGCATCTGCTGCTCGGAGCTGGTGAAGAATGCCGCTTTGTATTCGACGAGTTCTGGACGAAGCCGAGTCGCTTAACTGCTGTGAGTTTACTGAGTAGCGCTGGAAATGCTGCGCTTTCAGTTTTGACAGGTGCAGTTTCTGGCGGTGTGACTAGCACCGCGAGCCCTCAAGACGGGAAGTCCAATGACGCAATATTTTTCTAACGAGAGAGTGTACTGTTCGCAACGAAATGCAGAATGAAGAGCTGTATATCTACTGAGAGTTGGACAGAATTTTGAGTTATAAGGATTATTCCGACTCTTTGCGTGAGTGCGACCTGTGCAGCCCCAAATACAAATACTTCAAGTACTAGCACGTTGCAAATTCAAGCATTTCCTACATGATCAAAGTTAGGAGATACATCTTGCCATTTTTGCTATGTAGTTGGTCTTTTCATCCTCTCTCGTCGAAATGGCCACCTCGCCTCTTCTTTCAGCACAGATCTATGAATACTTGTTGGCCACGCTCTTCTTGTAGCACTAACTCAGCACAACATGAAAGGAAATCGGATATTCAAATATGTACACTACTCTATCAATCAAAACAATGAAAGTGATATAGGGATCACGATCCTCGTCACCACAAGGTGCTTATGCCAGCTCCTCAGATAAAATTGTCTGAAGCCTGTACAACACTTCTGCTGCAGTGGGGCGGTTGAGGGGGTTTACGGACACGCACGCGCGTCCAAGTTCTGCCAGAGCCATAGGACCACACTCGGAGAAGACGACGCGAAGACTTCCCTTTGTCACCTTGTCCAAGATGTCTGCATCCTGCAGTGTACACCAGCTCGAGTCGTGGATTTGCTTGCGTGCTTGGGAGTACGGAGCCGAGAGCATGTCCAGTTCAGACAAGAGGACACCGAACGAGAACATGTCGGAGTCGGTGCTTTGCTTCTCACCGCGAATGATCTCTGGAGCCATCCACAGCGTCTTAGTTTCTGTGGATGAAGTGCCTAAGTTGGTCACCTTGGCCTCCATATCGCTGTTCAGCAACACATTCCTCGACTTGAGGTGGCCATGGATCACAGGGGGTGACTGCGAGTGCATGTAGGCGAGTGCACTGCAAATTTGCATTGCAATTTTTGCTTTTTCCCGGTCGAAGCCGACGTAGTGTTTCTCAGCTTCGTACTTGTCCAGTAGCGACCGCAGATCGCCACCTTCCATGAACTCCTGAAGCACACACGCGTCAGATGCGCCGGTCCAAGAAACACCGACAAACCGGACAATGTGCGGGTGATTAAGCGTGGCTGAGATTTTCACTTTCGCCATGAAGTTCTTGACGTACTCCTCATTTTCTTGCGTTTCTGGCAACAGCTTCTTCACCGCCACTTTCTCGTCCCTGAACGATCCCGAGTGGACTTGTCCGAATGATCCCCTGCCAATGAGGTGGCCGAATTGGACCTCTTCTGTCGGAATCCTTACGCTGGCAATGATTTTATCGTCCCACAGCCCCGAGGCTTCTTCGTGCTTGGTATCCGAAGCTAAGCAGTTGCCGTCCGTGTCCAAGTTGGTCTCGATTTTCAGCAAAAGCTTGGGTGACAGACTGCGACGCACAGCGATGCCCCCGATTTTGAGGCGTTCTGTGACTGCGTTGGTGGCAAGACTGAGCATGGTGGTGAGGGGCTGGGTGAACTTTGGTGCGCGTGGAGCAGCAAAAGCGAGAGTGAACGACTCAGATCGAGGTCTTTAGCCGAGGGGACTGCAGAGAAATACAGGACACGTCCTGCCGTCAAAGTCGCCATTTGCCCCGCTGCTTTTTTGAGGATCCTGGCACGGACACAATCAACCTCGATGTCTCACAAACGGTCGTTTCGTTTGTCAAATCGCCAGTCTGAATTATTTTTAACTGCTTATTACCATACTTCAGGCCTGACGCTCGGTATTGAGACACAGTTCGAGCACCGTGGCTCTCGCATCTCTCCATGTAAGGCTGACACGGTGAGAAGAAGCCGCTTCGGGAGAAAAAAAAATCTCGTGCGGACGGATTTTTGGTGCTTGGGCTGCATGTGACGCGTCGAAAGAGTCAGACGTGAAAAGGCCTGGACGACATACAAAAACCAAGACGAATAGATGGGTCCCCATGTCACTAGCACCCGGCTCAGCAGCTTCAACTTGGCGAAGCAGCGCCCAGTTTCCGAGTCGGAACGTCGTTGGGTTGCTGTGGCTGACGTCTCGGCGTGGATTTCTGGATGAGGATTCTCTGCCTCTTCGCTGAGTGAGCTTGCGCTGTTGTTACTATCTCCAGCCTGTCCCCCGAGCTGCTGCTAGAAGAGCACAATGATTGAGGTAGCAATGCTAGAGCACGCTGGCGGTGCACGCCGGTCGTTTGCCGCTCTGAAGATTAAGTCCGTTGTAGCGTGCCGACGGATCTTGAGTACGTCTATACTTGGGGACGATATAGTCTCCATGAAGGTGTCCCCATGGCCGGCTCTTGTCTGCGGTGGTACTATTGGTTTTAACTGAAACGCAAGGGAGGGCGTCAGTCGTGTTTGGTTCGGAGGTACATGTACTTAGTATGCCACATGCCGAGCTGTTTGTAGTAACATCAAGACGAGGATCCTTTACTGCCGATCCGAGCTGTAGATTGTTAAAAGCGTCAAATCTAAAGAGATCCATGCAAAACTGTCTGCTTTCGATGGAGAACGTAGTGGCGAGCAGGACCCCGTCACAGCTTCTCAGGGGCAACAGTATCAGAGTACGGCTCGAACTGAGACCAGAAAGCAAGCGCGTACGGCAATGCGCGCAACTCCGACTCGAGGAGTACCCGATTGGGGAGAATATTTCGGCTTTGTCATTGCTGGTACTGACGTTACTCGAGGGTGTTGCTGCACACAAGCGCTGTGCCGTTGAGCACAAAATAGTCGGGTTCGCCTTGACAAGGGAGATCCATGGCTAAAACCAGATTTGTCGAAGTACCTGTCGTCGATAATGTACCTTTACGCATCGCTGTGCGATACACTGGACACGAGTACGTGTTGAAAGCGAGAGAATCTTCTGTGCCTTCAACATCCGAACCAATCAAGCTACGAGAACTCCTCTTGTAGGTATCTCCTCGTTTAAGCAGTTGTGTTGAACGTGCGGCAGCCTTCGTATCACCGCCAACTTTATTTCGTGTTGAACTGATGACAGCATTGTCACTCTGGCTAGGCCCCTTCGTCTGCACATTTGAAGAAGCTGTAGCAAGAGTAGAATTTCGTTGAGCCACTACCTGGATAATTGGCATATTCTGTCGCATGATACCGGGGAGTGAGCTGCACAAACATCCTAATTCGCTGTTCCAATTAGCGCCTTCCAGTACAAGACCCGCCAAATAAACTCCATCATCCGCTTGTCCCGCTACTTCGTTTTCAAGACTCTGTTGTACTGCTGGATCGTCAACAGATGAGAGAAGCGCAGATTTGGAATCACTGAGCACCCGAAACTCGAAATCTAAGAAGTGTATCGGAATTCCATGTCTTCTAGAATATCGCTGGAGAATTGCAGTAAAGAGCCCTTGTGGGAAAGAAAAAAATGGCAGAGGAAACATGTTTCCTGGTATGCGACCATGTTCGACCCAGCGACGTAAAAACTCGAAGCGATTGAGTAGATTTTTCACCCATTGCGACAACGACTCCGTCGTTGGAGTCAAATTGGAATCATTGGTCATCCAGTCCACGGGTACTTGTTGAGCTGCAATACTATGCAGAGTTTGCTCAATGGTTGCCGACATAACGGCAGTGCCTTGAATGGCATGCTGCAATTCGATGAGGCTTGCATCGACGTGTCGTACTGATTTGCGGCACGCCGCCACCTCTTGTTGCAACACAACACTAAGTGGATCCTGCCAATTTTCACGTGTTCGACCTAATAGACATTTCTCGATGCTGTTTAGTGTCGTTGGTGAAGGGAGTTGCTCTTGAATTGCTTTTGACAAATCTACAACTGCCTGTTCCATGCTTTTGTTGCCATCCACTGCATCACTTGTACAGTCGTTCGACAATTTGTCCGCAAATGAAACATCTTCTCCGCTATTTTGTAGCTGCATCACCAGTTTTACAAAGTGATTGCTTTGTTTTTTTTGGTACGAAATATGTGCATTCGGGTGCATGCCAAACACATTTGGTCCATCCATGTCAGACAGCCCGTCGACGAAGCGGACCATGTCGTCCTCAGTTTGAAATTCTGGAGCGAAAAAGCTATCATCAGTGGATGAGAAGATGGTGTTTTCCAAGGTCGAAGCGCTCTTTGCCTTTGTCACCCGTCGAATCGTCGACTTGCTTCGATGAGTTTTATTCGACTTACGTTTGAAGCACGGCTCCGAGCAATATCGTCTCAACACGGCCATCAAGCACTTACGATCAAATTCATCCGTAACACGGCCACCATAGTAAATCTCGCCAGCTAAGAAGAGCAGTGCGTCCCAAGGCACCGTATCAAACTGAAGGAAAGTTGTTCCCGATCGTGGCTCTTGAGTATTGCTCATACCATCATCACTTGTTTCTGTCTGAGGGACGTCACTGGCGCTTGCCTTGGTAGCAAGCATATTTGCCACAGCATCGAGAAGCCGACGTTGTAGGGTGACCGCACTCACAAAGTCAGCATCACTGAAGTCGTACTTAAGATTCCAGCCAAGAGATCCGAACTTGGAGCGCTCCCGCACAACAGCGTGGAAGAAACTGAGACCGAATGCTAGACGCAGCTTCATTGACGCATTTGAAGTCAAGTGGGAGTTGTTTCCATCTGCATTCATCTGTTTGAGGAGCATCATTGAACGCTGTAAATTTGCTTTCACACCCATTGGGGACTCCGTCATCACTTTCACGCTGTTTTGAAGAACTGAAACGGGGAAATATTCCACCGGAAAGGATGCAAGGAACAACCTGAAATCTTCGTGAATTTCTCCATTCCGTGCCTCTTGGTTGATAGTGGTAAGATGTGTCTGAAGCTCAGGTAGCCATGATTTAGCTAGATGTACATTCTGAAGAATTAACCAGTATCCTTGTGTCTTGCACTCCACTATTTTCGCTTCCACGATCGGACCTTGACCTTGGCCTAGAGAGATAACGTGATATTTGTCTTCACAAATATTTTTCTCGCGAGCATATCGTTCTAACGATGATATGGGGTCTGCTCCGGGGGATAAAATGAACAGGCAAGGTGTAGACTTGTCAATGTCACTGTAGACATCCTTCATCTCCACGTCCATACTAGCATCTTCTAGATATTCAGCGCCAAGTGTTTGGTCAATAAAACACCTTACTGCCATCATAAATGCATCTTCACGCAACCACCGCACGAGCACTAGACGTGTAAAGTGAGGCAAAGATTCATCCAAGCCTTCAGGAAGGTGAGCAAGATAGGGGTTTTCACTTGCAATCCAATTAGACCAGGCTGAATTTTCTCGATAGAATGAGTCCGAAAGCGCACTAAAAAGCGGGTGCTTTCGAGAAAGCGCAAGAAAAGCACGATCAACTGCATCAATGATATGATTAGGATCCCCAATGGCATTATCCTTCGGCTCTACCAAGCAGCTGTCGCTCATGTTGGTAGATTCAGCGTCAGTTGTTATAGTGGTGTCAATATCCACTACCAATCGGTCTAAAAGTACAACATCGCGTTGCTCAAGTTCATCTGCATCGATCATGATTTTTAAGCAAACCACTAGCGCAAATAGCTGCCTGTGAGCCTTGAAGAGGCCACGGCAGATATTCCGGTACACAGCCAAAGTGATGTGGTGCTTTAGACTCTCTAATCGCTCGGATAAATATGCTTTCACAGGCGCCTCGTTCAAACTTTTTATGAATACACGATTGAAATATTCCAACGAGAACTGATACATGGGGTCGATATCAGCCAAGTCCGCAATGACGAAGAAGAGCATAGCACCGCGAACTGCGACACCCTGGTACTGGTTCCGAATTTCTAGAACTTCCTGTTTCGTCGCTTCTGATTCCGCTAGTCGTTGAGCCACCACATTCGATGTTTGCTTGGACGTCTCCAGCGTTCGTATGAGTTCAACGTCATCCAAAATATTCCCCTTAGCATCTGAGAGAAGACTAAGGATTCTAATCTCCAAGTCTTGCAATTGCTTTTGATCTCGAGCAATACTAGCCAAGAGTGTGTGTTTCCGCTCCTCAACCTCCATCCTCTCTCGCTTCACAACATCACTAAGTAGCTGTTCTTCTAAACCGTCTCTTGTTACGGTGAAGTTAATAACGTTGACGCGTATATACACGTCAGGGACGAAATGCGGGTTCGCCAGCTTCGTTGCAAGGTACAATCGGAAGCGTTCTGTATCAGTCTCCACAACTCGATCCTCCAATTTCACGTACTTTCTGGTTGCTCTTTTGTTGTCTGCTGATTTTTGAGATGGTTTTATTGCAACTACAGGCTCCAGCGACGGATTCAGTGCTTCTGTCACATCTTCGATTAGTATATGTTTTCCACTAACGAGGCAATCTTCGACGGCCTGCATCAAGTTTTGATCGTCTGCTTTCACTATTTCCAAGTGATTAAATTGCTCTAATCGCTTGATCCATTGCGTTGCTTGTTGTTGTGGATCAATCATTAAACTCCAGCGCTGTCTGCTTTTTAAAGTGAAAATTCCATTATCGGTCGAAAAGTTATCACTTGGTAGGCCCAGCAGTTGCCATTCGCGAAGTTCTCGAGAGTCTCCATACGCATTGGCAAGTGTAAATGATGGTGACACACCCACTGACGACCTAGTCGCACCTGACCACTGAGAGAGAAGTTGGGCTCGAAATTCGCCGTCAAAAGGTCCCAGATACGACATGGATGCTGCTACCAGAAAAGAATCTCCCAGAATTGAGCTTCCTTCTTGCTTCAACAGTGTAATACTGCTTTTCCATCGTACACGCTCACCGCTAAGACCTTTGGTTAGCTTTTCAGCGTTTTTTAATCGTAGCTGAGTCAGCACTGATTCATCCAGCAGACGCTGCTTTTCTGCCAGTGTAGCATCGCATTTTTCTTTCAGATTTCGTACTTTATCCAGCACTTTTGTCAGCTCTTGTTGTTTCGCTTCAAGCTTCGTATTTGCGACTTCGAGCACAGCATTCATCTCGGCCAAACGCTGACGCTTTGGAACCACTTCTTTTACAATTCGAGCATACGTATCGATAGCGTGCACCCACATACACAGCGACATCGCAGCATGTGATACCTTCCTGACTTCATCCACTGCAAACTCCGGACTCTCAATGTACTTACGGATTCTTTTGAGAATCGCCGGCTGGATATTGTCCTTGTCGTACTCTTTGAGCTCAGCCATAAAACTACTGCGAGATAATATACGCTTACTGGTGTCCCAGTCCGCTTTCTCCCCAAGCATGATACATACAGCCTCCATGACAACCTGTACAACTTGTGGAGGCTTCACAAACCCCTTGACTTCCGAGATATCTTTTTTGTCTAAGGAGTCCAAAGCTGCAACAGCTGCATTAAGAGCAGGTAACGCTTGATCCAGATCATTCTGCGCATCTGCTTGACAAGCTGCAACTTCTTGCTGCTGTTGCTTGACCATAGCTTTATCGGATCTTACACGCTCAGCGACTTGTTCAGCTTCTGCTTGGTCAATCGCCACTTGATGCAATAGTTCCTCTGCTTCCATAGTCTTGCTCACTAGCACTGGTTGTAGTACAAGAAGCTCCTCTTGCAGTGTACTCACAAGTGAATTGGTCTCTTCCAGCTTGACGACACCTGCCATCAAACGCTGCAACTTTGTTTCCAACTGTGCTTTCTTTTCTCGGTGTATACGTCGGAATAATGAGATGAGATCAAGATAATGTTGTGACGTGATGTAAACACGGCATCGATACTTCGTAAGAAACGTCGGTAGTGAAGCAGTAACCGATACATGAGCTTCGACGCAAAGTGCTGTTACAGCCGACCGGATCATTGACGAACTCAAAAAGTCACGAGTACTCGCTCTTCTCGTACCAGGACCACTACGTGGTTGAGCTTGAGTATCTTCTTGAGAAAGGTAGAAGTCCGCAACATATTCAAGCGCATTTTTGGGCCATTCATCAAAGTAGTCGATAGTGGTGCAGTTAATAAGCGCTGGAAACTGCCGCACTCGCGCGCGAAAAGTTTCTCCAAGGGGGTTCATGCAGAGAATGAAATGTAGAGAGTTCCGCACCATCATGTGAAAGTAGTCCTCACAATCTTTTCGAGTTAAGTCGCCAACTTTTGAGCTGGTATCACCCTGATTGTGACCTCCTTGTGAAGATTTTGCGTCACTGATACTGCGCTCAAGCAAAGCTCTCACATCATTGATAATCCGTTCCATTTCTTCTGTCGTGAACAATTTGGGGATATCCCCTCCATTCAAAATCGTGTTGACATCTTCGAGAAAAACGTCCGAGGTCAATTGCGAGTCGTTCAATAAAAATACTGTGGGTACAGCATTAACGCTTATACCTTGGCGAGTCGAAGGACCCTCCCCCGTGTCTCCCAAAACTGCCAACTTCATCATCTGCTTTAAATCCTCTCGAAATTCCACCAAGCCGTAGCCCTTGCGTAATTCGATTTCGAAGCAGTAGTATCCCGTCAAAAACACAGCTAATCTCGCAAGAGAACGCTTACCGCAGCCTCCCATCCCAAGCAGCAGCCCGTGTCCTCGCGGTTGTATCAAAATCCTCGCGATAGCAGCCGTGTGTATCATTGCATCTTCGAAGAGCACCAGCTCAAGCGGCTGGCGACAGGATTCCTGCACTGTCGGGCTACAGTTGTATTCTTTAATCTGTCCATTGAGGAACATTTTGAACCGGTTCAGATCACCGACTTGGTCGTACTTCATGCTGATTCCTGTAACAATCCCTCTGTTTTCAACTCGACGGGGTGAGAATAGCAAAGTGCTATGCTCTTGCTTGGGTGGGTCTCCGTTATCAATCGCATTGTGTGTTCTCCGCCGATCAGTTGCGTTATCAATGCCAATGGTATCGACAGTCCACGAAACACCGAAAACTTTACTCGCCACCTCCACCAATTGCTCAGAAAACCATCGTCTATCAGTGCTGTCTGTTAAACGATCTCGAAAAACTCGAATCCCTTCGTGTGCCCACAAATTGACCACGGTTTGTGCAGTTAGACTGCAAGTCGGCTGTACGCCTCCTTTCTTACTGGAGCTCACCAATGCTCCGGATACACGAGTACCAAGTACAATACCTTGCATAAGCTTGGTAACATCACGCAAGTTAAAGGTATAGTGACACTTAGACGGGGTTGGAAGTAGTCCCTGTACAACACGTTGAAACAGTTGGCACGTCGCATCTGCAGTTTGAAGAAGAGTGTCCTTGACATTCTTGGCGAATACACTGCTTCCAGAGGTGGTGATGTGCGATGCGAGGATAGAGTTGAATATTGCCTTCATAGCAGACGCATCACAGCTGGGTAGACAGAATACTGCAGCAAACTGCCGTACGAAGCGTGGACAAAGTGTTTGACGGCCTCCACCTGGCAATCCACCCGCTGCAATGAGCACGGAATCGTTAATATCTTTCCAAAAGAATCGTTCACGGTCGTACAGCCCACCATACTCCAGATATTGCCTCAAGAGCTCAACTACCGGTTGAGCACCGTTTTTCTCGGTGGCTGGTATATTGACATCATCCACAAAAATAACGACAAGCTGCTTATTCACGGGTGCTCCGAGTAATGTCCTGCGTTTTTTGGAAAACTTGCTCTCGATGCTTAATTGTGTGCCAGCACTTGATGTCTGAGCAGACATATTTAAGATTAGTGGAAGTACTTTACCGTGTGCAATTACTGAGAGTGGCGAATCTGTGTCGGAACTTGACGGATAGATATCGGCTGCAATCCGCGCGTGATGATCCAGAATATTGTGCACAATTGCTGACTTGCCCGATCCCGTCGCGCCAGTTAAGAGAATTGGTTGTCGAGCGTTAATCGTCATCAGCTCCACTAAGCTGCGGTACTTTAAAACATCCATCGTTGGAACAAGAAGAGTGCCGGCTTTGATTTCGCTAGGTTGTAGAGACTGCTCTAGGCCAGCGTTAGACCAGGGTGAGAAGCTTAAATACTGGAAATCGATGAAAAAGTCTTGTACATCTCCAGTAGCCTGTGATACCCCTGCAGGTGTTGGGATTTTTCCGTCAATTGCCATGATATCTGGACTCAGATGCTGCTCGTTCGAAGAGATCAACTTGCCAAGAAAATCTTGAAAAGCGTTTTTCACTTGATCAAGATTCAGGTTACCACCGATAGCCCACGCGAAGCTGAAGATGAAGATTAGGTCTAAACATCGGTTCTGCTGATCTTCCGGAGACAGTAATGATTCTGGGGAAGATATATCAGCAAAGTTGCTTCTTGGGGCTGGTGCAACTGCAAAAAGTTCTGGAGGTGCTCGATGGAGTAGAAGCGCCTGGAAGATATGGCAAATGGTGGCGACAAACGCCAAGTCGCAGGTAGAAATAGGGACTTGCGGTGATGTATTCGACGACAACGAAACGGAATGAATAAAGGTCAATCCGGATTCCACAAACAGCTCAAAATACTTTAGAACACGCGTCTTCATCTTAGTACTGAGTGGTGTCTGTAGATGAGATTCTCTAGGGGTTGAGACTGGAGGTGGAGACGCTTGAGGCGTTGGATCAAACCCTTGCGTAGAGAGCCTAGACACCCACGTCTCGACAAATGGTTTCCAGCCGAGGCAATCCGGATGATAGTAAACCACACCAAGTCGACTGATAGTTGCAGGCGACGCTGCACTTGTATCTGCAACTTCAAAGAGAAGCTGAATCTTCGGTAGAAGTTTAATACGCTCGCCGTTTGCCAGACAGAGCGTCATGTTGTCGTCTAATACAGTATTCATGCTTTCGATCCAGTGTGCATCAATCGGACCATCAAAATTAATCCAGTAGAACGCCAAGTTCCACGTCAACGGATCACTACCGACACCAACCGTTTGATTAGCCGACTGGCGCACCAATATCGCCTCATTCTTCTCCATTATACAAGTCCGAAGCAACTGGGATGCTAGTCCGTCTGTCCACTCGCGCGTAATAGGGTGGAAAAAGCCATACAACTCAACTATTGAAATGGACTTCGGGTTTAATGTAAATGACACGACTCGTTGAAAACGCACGTCCGGGTGCGCGATTCGCTCCCGTAACGCACTCACCGCTGCACTCAAAATGTTCAAAGCCGTACTTTTCCCACTCCCAGTCGATCCAGTCTGAACAACGCCGACGCGAACGTCTAGTGTTGCAAATAACTGTAACAACTTCTTGGTCCATTGCCGGGCCCCCTGTAGGCCAGCTTGTCGAAGCTGCTCGTTGATCTCTTCCTCCAAAGCGATCATCCAGTTGGAACCACCGTGTCCAGACGGTGGAGGAAATACCCCAACACCTTCGATGAGCGCGTTGCATTCCACGGCGCCTATAGACGAAAGGGTGTCGGGGAACAAATCTCTAATAATTCCTTGAAACAGTCGATTGTCGGCGTCTGTGAGCTTCGGCGTGTTTGCACCAACCATTGCCTTAATGAGGATGACATTCTCATCGTTTGAGCTTGTCACAGCTGGGTCTGTTACGTTCATCGAAAAAGATCCCGAAGCCGCAATAATCGTAGATGAACGCTTCAGAGTACCTGCCAGGGTTAGGACGGCTCTCACAGCTCTCATACCAAAATCGTAGTGAGCTTGCTGAGAGAGTTGTTCACTGCAAAGTTTGTACAGTTTAGTCACTTTTCGTGAGAGTGGTTTCGCAAGCAAGAACCCCTCGGCAAACAGCAAGATTTCAGCAATCAAAGCATAGTCCGGCACCATCATGGCAACTGGTCGAAACGATACTTTCAAGTTGTCAGGTAACTCAGTACGACCAATATAGCCGGGATTCATAGTAATGATGACATGGTGGTCACGCAAAGGAACGCATTTTCCATCGAGCAGCACTTCGGTGGAATTCATCAGTCGCGCGCTCCTTAAAATCGACATTTGTTGTCCCACAACAGACAACACTTCGATGTCAATGCGGTTGAATTCATCCAAGCATACCCAGGCTCCCGCTTGAGTCACACCATTGAAAATGCTCCCCATCATCGAGTAGCTCATTTGGTTGCTACAGTTAATCACAATGCACAAAATTCCAAGAGCTTTAGCGAGATCTTTCGATGTTTCAGTTTTTCCAGTTCCAGCAGGACCAGAGGGAGCGGCGCCGTAGCGCAGCTCGAGCGCCCCAGTGATTGTCATCCAGCAACGATCAGTTAACGGGGTGATTACAAGTCGACTGCATGCGCCCATGTACTCGTAACCATATTTGATTCTGCAGTTGGCTTGATAAATCTCACATTCGTCACGATCTGCATACCACTGGTATCGGAGTTGCTGCTGCCATAAGAAATCGTTTGCGTCCGTGACATTCTTGACCACTAAAGATTCCACAATGTCGCGAAAGTGAACATCAGTCGTCACTAGTGACACCACAACTCTCCTTTGAACCGACGTTAGGTTCGTTCGCACTAGGCGGGTGAGGTTGCCCAACTGTGTGCAAATAGTTTGGTGCCAAAGAGACAACTCCTGGACAGGGTTCTGAGATCGCGACCGAAAGCAGAACTCGCATTCTCTCGCCCATATGATGTACGATACTACTGCAACGGCCTGTGCAGGGTGACGAAACAGCCATGTTTCTCTTGACGAATGCTGGTAGTCTGCCAAACAGCTTTTCACATGCTTGTGCAGTGTCACCTTCATATTGACGAGAACAGCATTCAGCCAATCCTCAACGTTTCCACGAGCTTTGATAATTCGTCCAAAAGCTACACGTTCACCTTCGGGACTGATCATTGCAACTATATCCTGAGCGCTAGACACCGCACTGCTGCCATGCGCTGAGTCATCGCTGATATCCAGCTTTGCTAATGCATCAAAGCACTTTGGCAAGTGACGTTGAACGATTTGCGGTTCCTTGGCATGCGCTAGTATTTCTAATAACTCGTCGTTCGAAATGAAGTAGAACCGCGGGAATGATCTTCGTTTCATTTCGAGGTAGTCTTCCAACGATTTTTCAATCCGTTCGAGTGATGCGTTGTGCTTGGTGAGGATATCAAGCAGAGCCTGTCCGACACCACCACTGCCTCCACCACTGCTGCTGCTACCGTCCTTGTACGTCTTAGAACCACTAGACGCGCCGATCAGGATAGCCCCCGTTATTTTCAAGCAACCTCGCTGGTCCCGTGTTTTCCTCATCAACTCCTTCCAAAACTGATTGATCCCGATAAACGTAGCGCCTTCGTTTGGAAGCTGCTTTTGAATGTCTGGTGCCGAAAAAATCGTTTCTAGATGCATCCACTTTCGCTGACATTCGATCCAAGCATCAAAAGTTTCTTGGAACAGAAGCAGCCGTTTATGCCACATAACCGCCGTTTCTTTGATGGGGGCAACGAACTTTGAGTTGAGTACCGCGGTCATATTAACCAAAGACTCTTCCAGCATCGTGTAGAAGCTCTCAATCGCGTCGAGGATGTAATAGTCCTTGGATTTTTTGTACTGTTTGACGTCGAACTCTAAGCGATCCCAAAGCACAACGATTTTTGTGAGCATATCCTTCAGTTGCCGTTCCTGTGTTGCGTCTGACGCAATTCGATTAACTTGAGGACCAAAAGGTGCTAAGTGCATCTTCACGAGCTCCCCCAGCGTGAGAACCGATGAGTTAGGAGCGCCAGGGCTTAAACCTAAATGCCGGATGTTGATCCCAAGGAGCTCACGAAGCTGGACAAAATGGCGATCTTCAAAGCTTTGGCATCGCAAATCCATCAAAATCGGCAACGTTGCTCGATATTCATCCACACTTGACTTCAGATATGTACACAATGGACCCATACCCTCCGATAACTTTTGTTCCCATTTCGTAATTTGAACGTAAAGGCGCTCAGTATGTTCTGAAATCGAGCCAAAATCAATTTCGTCCGGGAACTGTTGCTTCTCCCATAAGGAGACAGCGACGCTCCAATCACGAAAAGCTTTCCACAAATCGTTTTTCAAAGCCAAATCCACTTTAAGATCATCCATCTCATCAAATGCAGTTGTCATGGGTAGACCAAGTATTTTCTCGTAATCATGGTGCAGCTTCACACCCGCCTCGAGTTGTAAAACATTGTCTTCAATTTGCGTGAGGTAAATAATCGTCTCGTTGATATCGGACTTCAGGTCGAATAAAATCGGATCTGAGAGCGCGTTGGCGACACTAGTTAGATTCGACACGAGATTTGGTAGGCGAGCCTCAAGTTCAACACTGAACTTTGCTACGTACTGGTCACGATTGCTCTCGAAAAGATCTATGGACGCTTTCAACTGGGATCTCTTTTGAGTGAGAACAAACGCATTCATTTGGTCCGTGTCTGTCATCTTCACCCGATACTCTTCCAGCAAGCGATACAAGCTCCGAACGCCGTTATATTTTTCCTCCATGGCGTCTTGACCAATCTGCAGCTCGCGCAACAGTGCTAATGATTCTGAAAATGCTTCAACAGTTGTCGGGATCGTGCTGATTCGGTCATTTGCGACAGTATACTCGTTTGTTAGGTCGTCATTGAGCTGGCGGAGTACTATCGGGATTAGCTTATATAGAACATCCAGACACTTACGTGGCGAAGGCTTGAGATACCCATTGAGCTTCATACGATCCAGCATTAACAGTCCGCATGGCGAGTTGTCGGCAACAAAATCAACGTCCTGGGCTTCTTGCAAAAATTTGTCGAGGAACCCTCGAAAGTCATGCACATCCGTGTTCAGGTAGCGCGATGGGTCCGATACTAGCTTGCAGAAACTACCGTTTTCTAGGTACCTTTCCAGGTAGACAACGAGGTTCTCACAGTTCTCCTCAGCATGATTGTACGCATCCAAAACGATTGTAGTGACGCTCTGTAGAGTCTCCGCGAAAATGCTGTCTTCCATGATCAAAATGTCCAGATTCCCTTCACTAGATAATTCGCCGCCATCACTATCACCGTCCCCGCCTTGGATAGTATCCTCCATACTTGCCTCCACGTAAACTTTGAACATTGAGTTGCGTATCAGTCTGTCTCGATTCGTTATAGCTGACAGGCCATTGAACACCATTGTTTCAAGCTGTGACCGAAGTGTTTCCTTGCTAGGGATAAACTCGAGAATCTTCATTGGATCATCGAGTCTGACTGGTACGTCATGAGAATAGGTTCCTCCAGATATTGTACTTGTTCTAAGAGACGTTGAGGTACCGTGGAGCACCACCTCGACACGCAAAAGGGGCTGAGTCGTTGATCGAGATATCGTCGGGAAGGTTGCGCTACGTTTGATCTCTTCGCATCTTGGGCATTCATCTCCAGAATCTTCATCATCATTTAAATCACGGATGTAAGTTGCCAGTGCATTTCGTAGATGCACGGTGGACGAAATAGCCATCCGAAGCATTGCGTCTGAGATCAAAAACTCTACCACCCGAAGAAACTTGGTGATGCGGCGGCACTGCGTTTTCATTGTTGCGCGTTCGGTGTATGTCATCGGCTTCTGTTGACTAGCAACGCCTAGAGCACTCGTGCTCACTTTTCGCTGAGCTGCAGCAACTGACGACCGTGGTCTGTCAGTACTACATGGCTTAACGTCGTTGAAACCAGTATGTTGAAGGAATGAGTAGAGATATTTTTCACACGCGTGTTTTGCTGTCATTTCGGCATCCGAGATAAAGTGATCCACAAGCCGTTCAACTCGAGTCTTCTGGGCTTTCAACCGCTGCAAAAACTCCGCCAACGTGTATGTCTTCTGTTGCTGAGTATTGATAGAATCAGTATCCCATCCTGCTGGCTCCCCGGGTCCCGTCGGATGCTCAAAATCAAATAATCGAGCTTGTTGAAGATCAAGACATGCGTGACGCAACTGGAGTAGCGCTTCGTGGAGATGCGGAAGCAAAATGAACAAGCTGTTGTTGAGCGACATGCACGCATCTACTCGCTTCCTGGCGCACACAACTTGCTTCCAGATCGTAAATCTTTTCCAAATACGATACTTCTTGAAAAACGGAAGCTGTGCGATCATCAGAACAAACTTGCGTTAGAGTCAACATGAACAAATTTAACGCAGACACGTCGGTTGATGATCATCCTACCTTCACAAGAAGAGAATAGATATAGTTCTCACGCTCAAATTTCTGTAGAGATTGGAACTCGACGCCTTCCGACGCAAAATGCGTGATCCCTAGTCGACTTACAGTATAGTAGTCCTTTGGATCGATCTTAGAGTGACTCGCCATCTCCAAATTGTACGGGTTCGAATCAACCCGTCTCAAATAAAAGAACGAGTCGCGTGGAACTGCTCCACCCGGTGTCCATGATGGCACTCCTGTATCAGCGCCAGAAGAGTTGCTCCCTTGAGTAAGTCCTTCTACCAACTTTTCCGTGAGTGTCCTGACTTCATCACGACGTGCCAATAAATCGCCTCGCCGCGGAGTCTCTTCACTTAAGAAATTATGACGTCTCTGTTTGCTCTCACCTCTATCTTGAGCCTTGGGTATCTCAACCTTGTTTTCCATCGCCTTCACGATTCCATCATTACTAACATTACCCCCAGTCATGACTGGTGGTCTCAGTCGGTGCTTGCGCCTCATCCCTCCTGGCGCTGTGGTCGATCGTTGCTCAACATAATATCGATCTCTCGCGCTCATCGGCTCTCTCTCCAGTTTCGTCCGCTCTATTTTACGAATCTCCCTAGTAGTATTTGCCCCTGCTGACATTAACAATCTGAGTCTCTGAGCTTTCGACGCCGACGCCGACGACGACTTTGGCCGGGACGGAATCAACACCGTTCCGGTCGGATTAATGTTCAGAGATGGCACCAGCGGCTTGTATCTTAAGTCACTCTCCTCCCCGCTCTGATTATTACTATGGCAAGCGACCTCAAGTCTCTTTCTCGGCTTTAAACCTTCCGACGAATTTTGGCCTGGTACATCTGGGAACAACTGGGCCTGGACTACACTCCGCTTGAGTCCTGAGGCGTGTAGTCGCTCATCCAGAACACGGCGGTCTTCTGTTCTGCCAAAAGCGTGTTGTTCACTGCTGCTGCTGTCTCTAAACAGCGCCGTTTGCATTGATGTAGCCGTTTGGGCAGTAAAAGGTCGCCTGGGCGTCGAGATGGGGACAGATAAGGCAGGGAAGGCAGCATCGTTATGTCTCTTACCGCCACAAGTAAGTGGAGAAGGCGTGGGTGGACGTCGTCGAGCGCCGTGTGTACGAGGGCGAGGAATACCGGGAGCGGACGCGCCACTTGGTGCGGGCAACTCGTCCATGGTGAGAGAGAGTGAATGTAGCGAAGAGTCAATGTTGAAGTATACGGTGACAAAATCGGTACAGTCTGGATATCATTGCTGTGGCGTTAGTCAAGATGATAATTGTGTGTAGAACACTAACTCGTGTGTAGCCTGTGTGGACGCTTGTGCGGTGGTGCGTCCTCCCCCAAGAAACGCAGTCTCCAACATCGCCAGAATTTAACTCGTCGCGTAACTATGAGCCTCATCTCCAAGGTCGCGGGTCTGTACCAGAAGTCTATCAGCAAGTCGCTGGGCATGTACGGCCTCAAGTATGACGACGCGCTCGTGGACACGGCCGCCGTGCAGACGGCGCTGCACTGGATTAAGGGCGAGGACTACCAGGCCCGTACCAAGCGCATCGCTCGTGCCACCGACTGCTCGCTTAAGCGCAGCTACCTGCCGGACGAGATCCAGGCTATCCAGCGCCCGCTCGACTTCTACGTGTCCGACAAGGTCGTGGAGGCCGAGAAGCTCGCCCAGGAGCGTGCCGATCTCACTCGGTGGTAAACAGTGACCAGCTCTGCGAACCTTCAGAAAAAGGAGGCAGCTACTGATCGGGGCGCGTCTGCAGATAGAAGTCGGACGATGAACGCGCAGGAATCACGTTGCTATTAAGGTCCCGAAGGTAAAGAAAGAAGGAAAAAGACTGTGCGAGATAGTACTCTTGCATCGTTGCGACCTTTTTACTTACAGAGGAGAACGAAGAATGAAAACAAAAGAAAAATGAGAAGAACCGAAGCTTTAATGAAGACCTGTGTTCTCACTGTGTTCTGTGGGTATGTGTTGGTGTTTATAGGTGACAGTTCCGAGGTGAAGAGTCACTTTGGTGTTCATCTTTAGCAGGAGGGAAGCATAGGTTGCCGTGTACGACGATGCTAGAGTCATCTTCTTGGTCAGCTGCAAGTGCCCGGCCTCCTCGACCTCGGCCAGTGAGTGCCAAACCTACGAGGGTGCATACTGCTCGACCAGAGATAATCTCGTACAGCCACAATAACATGGGCGATGAAGAGGAGGAAGAGTTCGTTGAAGACGATGATGGAGAAGATGACGATGGCGAATTTGGTGCTGCAGCGGAGCGAGAGCACCAGCTGCAGCAGCAAGTACGTGTGCAATCTCAGTATCAACGTCGGCACTGGTCTGGAAAGCCACCTTCATCTGGTAAGATGTATTTGGTTTCACTCTTGCCAAGACCAGCGGAGAGGTCAACGCTCTGCCATGTGTTAGGTGCTAAGTTCAGGTCAAATACCAAGTTTCGGCCGTCATCGGCACCCACAGGGAGGCCGAAGTCGGCTTCGACTACCCGTAATGCCCATGACAACGACGAAAAGCACCGACGATCTGCTGCGTCCATCTCAATCGGGTACCTACGGGCCGCTTCCGAGAAGAAGAAGGCGCGAGATCGAGAGTTTGCAGTGAGTTGTATCATCTTAGTCGTATCTACTTCTTTTCCAGCTTATTCCGATGTGGCGCTATGATCACAGCGAGAGCTTTTTCGCGAGGAGAACGAATTCAAGAAGAAAATTTCCGTCAAGATCGAGCAGGCAAACAAGATGATGACTGCTATCGGGAGCTCCAAGTCGTTCGGCCCAGCTCCTGTACGTGGACCCCGAACGAGAAACAGAGTCTACAAGATACACTTCTTACTCTTTGCTTGCTATGATTTGTCTTGTTCCAGGACCGAGATGGTATTCACATGGTCAAAGTCCTCGATGCTGTGGCTGGCGATCGTGTTATCTCTGTCGAGATTTTTCATATCCTTTCCCCACCATGCCCCTTGTGTTTTCAACTGCGTGATATCATGCTTGCGGTATTTTATATGCTCTTAATGTTTCCTTTAACTAGTCTTTTTCTTGCTTCACTCCGCGAGTTCGAGCAGCTTGCATCCGTCCCGTTAGGCCAAACAATGCAACAGTTTTCCTCACCCTCCAGCAACAATACGATAAACAAGCTGTCAAGGAGTTCATCATCTCGTACTAAGAGCTCATTGACGCGCGGCAGCATCGCTCCGCGAGTAGCTCGCTTAAGTGTTCGACCATCCAGCGCCTCACGCGAGCCACAGTCAGATATCGATGGAACTCGCTTACGAGCAGCCAAGATCAAGCCCGCCGACCGCTCCCAAGTGCAAGAAGAACTTCGCAGCGTATTAGAAGGAACTATCGAGCTCACCAAGATTCTACAAGAGCAGCTTCATGAACTAAGGCTCAAAGGATGGAACGTCGCGCCGCGCTCGTGACCTGCTTCAACCTGATTATCGAACGGCAACTTTTCGTTCCTAAATAATAGCTTGTTATCGAAGTGTCAAACATAATATATCACGATCATACATATTATGTCATGTTTTGCCTTTTTTGATATGCATATTTGGTCATAAGTATTGTCTGCTACAGTGGAACAGACATGGACTCGCAGGCGTCGAATTCGGAGCGTACGGCTCGATACCTGCACGAAGAGAAGCTCAGGAAACAAGAGAGTGGCGAGACTGATAAGAAGATGGCGTGTCGGTGGTTCCTAGACCGGTCGTTTTACTGCGTCAGTACGTAATTGTCTCCATCTCAACAAACGTGCTGCACCTTTTGAGTTGTGTGGAGGAGAATGGCATTGACTAACGGTGCTGTTCATTGTTCGATAACCAGCACCTGGCAACCAAATGGAGCATTTTTACCGATACGGCCAAGTGGACGAGTGCAAGTTCACGTGGAAGAACATGTATCTGTGCTACCGGGCGAGTATGATGGACGAAGAAAAGCGCCAGGACTTCCTCAAGGACACGCCGCTCGACGCGTCCAATGGCCCGCACATTACGGACGTGTGGGAAAAGAAGGAAGTTCCAGGCTGGTAGAGCGGCCATTTTGTCTGCTGGGAGGCTTTTGCAGACTTGATAAATGTCTTGGGAAGCTGCACAAGAATTCCACTCACTCTTTTACTCACTCCACTCCCTATCGATAGCACTTCAGTTTTGTCCGGTAGCTCACGTGGCCCTGTTTGCTTCCCTTTTCATCACTCTGTTTGCCTACTTTCGACCTTCTGCTTGCTTATTTGACTACAGACACCACTTCACACCTTAATCTAATCCTTAAGCCATTCCTCCATGCCGTGTAGGTCACCAGGTAGTGCTGACGGCAAGTTCTGATCATCGCCATGGCCAATAGGCATAGGCAGCGAGTCCAGTGAGGGTTCTAACAGCACGTCTAACGGGTCCAAGAGGTCTCCGTTCGAGCTTGAGAACGGGATCGGCTCATTGCTATCAGCAGCGCTGCTGTTGCTTCCATTGTTCACCGGCGGCACGGTAGCAGGAGTAACTGCCTGGTTTACTGGAGAGTTTGCAGCCCCAGCACCACCGCCAACATTGAAGCTTCGCATGGACAGCAAGTCCAGCTCGTTCTCGATGTTCTGTGTGAGCTGAAAGTCGAAGGCTTCCGTGGAGAGCGGAGGCAAGCCGGCAAATGATTTTTTCGAGTTTGCCTGCAAGTTCAGCAGCGTATCGAGATCTCCAGTCTCCTCATAGTGTTCGAAAGCCTTGTGCAGCGCCGAGTCGTCTGAAGCAATGAGTAGCATCTTGAGCGAGTCCTTCTGCTCCTTACTGATCTTGCCGCTGGCAGCAAGCTTATTAACAAGCCAGAACTTGGAGGATAAACTTCGTCCGCGCTTCGTTTTGCGTGAATTTCCGCGAGAAGCTCCAGCAGGAGGCTGCATCTGTCCTACAGGCTTAATCATGGGCTTAATCATGGGTTCAGGCGTCACCTTGGCCACTGCATCTCCAGTCGAGTTTAAGTTGTCCGATGGGGCTAATCCAGCGCCAAAGTCGACGGGAACATCAAAGTCCAACGTGTCCATAATGTCCAACAGCTCGGGTGGGGGTCCTGTGGCCTCATCGAGCTGGAAACCCTCGAGTGACAGCAGATCTCCGTCCCGAATGGACCGATCCAGCGCGTTCTTCCGGATCTGTAGCGCATAGCAGCATATAAACGTGGTTAGAATACATTTAAAGTAAAAGGCTAGCTGCGATAGTGCTGCATCTTACCACGACGCCTTTCTCGTTCTTGGACTTGGTAGGGTGTAGCAGCACTTTGCACTTGGCTAGGATGCTGGGTGCCGGGTCATCGTCCGAGTTGGTGATGACCTGGTAGAAGTCGCTCAGCACACCTTCCCATTCGAGTGGGCGCTGCAGACACACGAGCGACGTGACGCTCGTCAGCGGATTGAGCAGCAGCACACGGATCACCTCGCCCATTATTGCGAACGTCGGGCTGCCGATTTGTATGTGGAAGCTCGTTTTGGCGTCAGGGGGAGACGGAAAAAAGCCAGCTTCGTGCGCACGCTGATTGGATGAAAAAGGATTTTAATAGTAAATGCAAAATCGAGTTGCGCCATGTAAATCTATAGCCTTAATCAAATGATACCTACGTCCATTCAACTAAGTAAATCGAATGACCAAACAAATAATAGCCTTTGATAATAAATATATCTAGATATGATGAATAATAATATCGCGACTGGATCGCAGTGCAGCCCTAATTTGCACCACCAGCCGCTTGATTGAGGGGGGGGGCGGCGCAACCGGATAAGACTACACTGTCAAGAAGCGCGCTATGTTGTCATCTGGACCAGCATACTACGCGCTGTTGTCGCATACTGCATTGCGCCGCTCATTTGGGTTCATCTCGATTGGACGGAGGCAATCCGCCGGGAGCGGGACCTCGATCGATTCATGTTGTGTGACAGCAACAGCAATGCTGTTCGTCTGGATATTCTTCGGGGGCGATCACAAAGCGAAGCCATTCTCGCCTTTCCGGGCGAGAAAGACAGGCGTGTTGACATGTTTTCAAGACGGACACCGAGCTTGGCTCGTCGGCAAACATTTGGATCCAGTTATTTCCTCAGCTGGTACACGAATACGAATTCGACAAATCCATTCCAAATAGGTTGGCAGTGAGGATCCTGCAGTGGTGCACATTAGGATTCTTCTACATGTACATGTAGCTGTCTGCTCTGGGCGTGACCTGAGCGCAGCAGCTGGATCTGCCTTCGACGTACTGTGCCATGTATGGCGTATCTACGAATTGAAGGGACATCACTGCGGTCAGCACGGAGAGGAACAGCTTCGTCTTCCTGTGTTGTCCGAGCAAATATCGATCGCAAGGGAAAACCGCTCCGAATTGCGAAGGATCATCATCAACAGTTCGATTGCCCTGAGCAACATACACATTCCTTATGTTGCTCCAACGCTTTTGGCACCGCAAAGCAAAAGCATTGTTACAAGTTTCCACCTCGAACTGTCATTGCCACACCAGTTCATGCCGTCGGACTCCGCGCGCTACGCCAAGGCGCCTCACCTCTGGGCGCTGGGCGTGGGTGCCGTCGTCAGCGGCGACTTCTTCGGCTGGCAGTCGGGCCTCGTGGCGGGTTTTGACGGACTGCTCATCATCCTGGCCCTCGTCACGGTGCTCTACGTTCTACTAGCCTTCTCCATCGCCGAGTTGTCCACCACGGTACCGTCAGGAGGTGGCCCTTACATCTTCGCATTGCACGCCATCGGTCCACGCGCCGCCTTCTTCGCCGGTCTGGCCGAGAGCCTCAAGGTCGTCATCACTTGCGCTGTAGTCGTCACGGGTATCAGCTCGTACATGAATCAGCTACTGAGTCTGAGCTCGGACTACGGTCCGATCTGGTGGTTCGTTTTCTACGTAAGCTTCGTGTCGCTCAACATCGTCGGTATCGAGATGACGTTCCGTGTCCAGGCCTTCACGACGGTCGTGTCGGTATTAATTCTACTAGTATTCTACATCGGTGCTGCGACCAAAGTGTCGTACACTGAGTGGGTCTCAAACGTCGACTGGCAGTACCCTGGAGGCTGGGATGGCGCTGTTAAAGGCTATTCATTCGCTCTCTGGTTCTACTTGGGTATCGAGGAACTTCCTCTTGCTGTTGAAGTAACTGTCAACCCGGAACGCAACATGCCGATCGGATTAGTGACATCTATCTCCACGCTCGTGTGCCTGGCATTCTGTACCGTAATTTTCAACTCGATGATCTCCCCTGGTGCCGAGGAGATGTACAACAGTTCGTCTCCGCTTCTCACTGGCTACCAGAGTGTATTTGGTGATAACAGCACTACATCGGGCTTCTCGTGGATGCTCATTCTTGGTCTGATAGCGAGTTTCCACTCGTTCGTGTTCTGTATGGGCCAACTGCTGTACGCTATTGCTCGAGACGGATACTTGCCGCACGTGTTGACTACGCTCCATCCTACGCGAGGCACGATGTATGCGTCACTGATTGCTGGTAGCTCTATTGGATTTATGGTGGTTCTTGTGCTGCATTTTATCATCGGTGACACACGTCTCGGATCCGTTTTGATCAACCTGGCGCTAATCGGTGCCGTCACTTCCTACTGCTTCCAGCTGACGTCGTTCATCCGTCTGCGCATTAACGAACCGGATCGAGTTCGACCGTATCGCAGTCCCTTTGGTGTCACTGGCGCTGTCGTATCGTTGGCGTTGTGCGTGGCAGGTATGGTATCAATTATCTACAGCGGGACGTCTAGCAATGAGTTTCTAGCGTCGATTATTGTTGCAATTCTGTACTTTGGTGTCGGTGCAGTGTATTTCCTCATGCGCGTTCAGCCACGTCTTGCTGCCTCCACGCCGAAGATGCGGGAAAACTTGCTGAGTAGTGCTTCCTCCAAGGTTTGAGGATCAATATCCATGCGGAGACTAACCTCAGCTGCCATTAGCTACTGTAGTTTAAGTGAAGAAATGGGTAAACTACGTGAAAGGCGAGGACTGTTATCATGCGACTACGCACTAATTGCCATGACGATGCTGCGAGTTTTAGAATGCTGGAGATGGAGTTGGTTTGATACAAGTACCTTGTTATGTAAAGATCTTAGTACGTGTACGGTGCTGTGCCGAATTGCAACGCAGTGCTCTAGACCACGACATCTTCAAAAGACGATGAAGTTGTATATCTGGTCTTAGTTCAGAAGGTGAGAATCACCTCCAAGCGTGCAGTTTACCCTCTCTCGATTCAAGATTATTGAATTTTGGTGGTCGTAACAACTTCAACTTAATTTTTCAGCTCGACTACCAAAAAAGATACAGAAATCAAAACAAAAAAACTTCTGCTTACACCTTGGTGGACACACACGAGCTCATGAGATTCTCACGGAACTCCTTGGCCGAGAGCGGGCCATAGCCAACCTCCAGCCGCGGCTTCACTCGATATACGAAATAGACTGCGCCAATAGCGAAATAGCCGATGGCAACGAGCACCGAGGCCAGGAAAACGTAACTGGACGTACCGCTGTAAATGATGGACACGAGCGAGAAGATGCACAGGATGATACACAGCACGGCACCGGGAACACCAAACGGACTTTTGTATGGACGTGGGCGCTCTGGTTCTCGAATACGCAGCATGATAAAGGCTGTGAGTTGGAAAATGTAGGAGACGATAGCGCCGATAAGAGCCAAATTGATCAATACAGACCCAAGACGTGTGTCACCGATGGCAAAGTGCAACACAATGACCAGAACAAGCGCAATAAGACTTCCCACAATCAACGACACATAGGTAGTTCCACGCGATGGATGCAGCTTAGTCAATATGTGCGGTAGATAACCATCGCAGGCGATAGCATAGAGGAGCTTGCCCATACAGAAGACGAACGAGTGGAAGCTCGAGATTAACCCCACGATCAAAATCCACGTGAAACCCGAAGTAGTACTGTTGTCACCAAACACAGTCTGGTAGCCGGCGAGGAGAGGTGACGAGTTTACATAGATCTCATCTGCACCAGGGCTGATCATCGAGTTGAATACAACAGTACAGAACGAGATCACGATCAGAGTGATGATGGACGTCATAAGGCCCCGAGGCATGTTCTTGGTAGGCTCGATGGTCTCGTCAATGGCAAGCGGTAGCTCCTCAATGCCCAGGTAGAACCACAGTGTGAATGAAGCGCCCTGAAGGACGCCGTCCCACCCCTTGTAGTTCCAGTCACGGTCCACTACCCAATCCTGGTACGAGATCTTGGTAGCAGCGCCGATGTAGAACACCAGCAGTACAATCACCGACATGACGGTAGCAGCAGCCTGTACTCGGAACGTCATTTCCACGCCCATGACATTGAGTGTTACGAAGACGACGTAGCAAATGATCCACCAGATCGGACCAAAATCTGAGCTCACGCCGACAATTTCGGCAAAATATGAGCCAATACCAGTTGCAGCTACACCCGTAGTGACCACAACCTTTAAACATTCGGCAATACCAGCGAAGAACGCCGCTGTTTTGCCGATTCCATGCAGAGCAAAGACGTACGGACCGCCGCCGTGTGGCACTGTTGCTGATAATTCAGCGATCGAGAACGACAGCAGCACATACTGCACCGTCACCACGGCGAGAAGAATGAGCAGACCGTCGAAACCAGCGACCAGAGCTGCTTGCCAGCCGAAGAAATCGCCACTGATGACAGCACCCACGCCTAGAGCCCACAAATGCGGCGTCTTGGCGTAGCGCTTAGGACCACCCTCGATTCCAACTGCCGGACTGTTGACACTCAAGTTCGTACTCATGATTATGACGGCGACTGTAGAACTTCAGAGCGGAGACGTCGTCGGATGTCCAGAGTGCAGTAAATTGCAAAGTGAGCGATGGAGAAGCTGCAAAACGAGGTATAATTCTGCAGAGGCCCCAGCACAGCGAGATTGGTACAATTGTGAGCTTGAGTGCAAAAGACACAATGTGCGAGCGTACGCAGATTCCGCAGATCAAGTTCAGGTGTGCAGGAGACTGCAGGTCCACTGTTCAAATCGTAGAGTCAGCAAACTGCAACTTGTTCGTCAAGTGATCGGATTGGTTCGGTAAAAGCGTAGGTCGTTACTGATTGGTGGGTTTGAAACAAGTCGAAAATAGGTGAACAGAAACGGCGCGAAAAGTAGTGCTGACATGGTGATGCAGCCTGCGTGGCCTGGTTTCGTCTCAATTGCGGTGTGAGCAATGCGCACAAATGGCTGCATGGCGCGCTTCCATCATTGCCGGCAGCTTCGAGCGTCGCTGTCAACGCATTGCACGCTCGAGCATCGAGTCTACCGACTAGAGACATATGGAAGATATTGATCACCTATATTTTGGTGTAGGTCGGATGCAATTCTGCGCAAAGTATTTTCACCTGTTAACCTACGCGGACTGCGTCGGCACTCGTCATCGGCAGCGTGATAAACATCGGCTACTTCGAGGTATCTGTCCCCCGGCGCCGAGGATGCGCTAATCGCTTTCTTGTCGCCCGTAGCACCGTTGGCAAGGTGTGGTCAAAGACGGCTGCAGGGGAAATTGTTGCCAACAGAACTCTTGTTGAATTTGGATACGAGAACGTCTACGCTGCACGATACGCTTCCTCGCCAGAAACGTATACTTATTCGATAGTTGATAGCCAGCTCCCAGCCTACACTTTCGGTAGTTATTTAAATTGTACCGCAACGAGCTAATCCTTTTGGGGTGGATGTCTTCAAGATTATGGAGAAATCTAGGCAAGTTGGAGTCTGTTCTCATGGCAATCGCTGAGGGTTGAGCTAGCTAATTACTCATAGTTAATGCCCTTCGAGCGCTCGTAGTACATGTGTGGGCGTTTGGAGGGTATCACCGGTGAGTGAGCTTCAGGCATAAGCCAAAAACACTTCAAACAAGTTGCTCCAGCATCATATTGAGCGGGGTCTGTACACTGCTGGGTCTGGAATACTGTTGAGCATGAAAAAATCGACAGGGTGCATGTACTAAAGAGATCAATTCGCTCTACAAACGTTTAACTTTATACGTGCCCTTGCGGCACGTATGTCAGGCCCTGATGCGCGCCTTACACCTTGTTGGATACACGCGAGCTCATGAGATTTTCCCGAAACTCCTTAGCCGAAACTGGGCCGTTGCCCACCTCCAGGCGTGGCTTCACGCGGTACATGAAGTATACGGCACCCAGGGCAAAGTATCCGATGGCAACAAGCACAGAGGCCAGGAACACGTAACTGGAAGTGCCGCTGTAGATGATCGACACGAGCGAGAAGATGCTGAGGATGATGCAAATCACGGCACCGGGGATGCCGAACGGGCTCTTGTATGGACGTGGGCGCTCTGGTTCCCGAATACGCAGCATGATGAAGGCCGTAAGCTGGAACATATACGACACAATGGCTCCGATAAGAGAGAGGTTGATCATCACCGATCCAAGGCGCGCGTCACCGATAGCGTAGTGTAGAATAATCGCCAGTACCAGAGCAATGATACTTCCCGTAATGAGAGCAACATGAGTCGTTCCACGCGTTGGGTGCAGCTTCGTCAGCATCTGCGGCAGGTATCCATCGCAGGCGATAGCATACAGCAGCTTACCCATACAGAAGACGAACGAGTGAAAACTCGATATCAAACCAATGAGGAGAAGCCACGAGCAACCGGACGTAGTGCTGTTGTCACCGAAAATGGTCTGGTATCCGGTGAGCAGTGGTGAAGCGTTGACGTACATCTCGTCAGCACCGGGGCTGATCATGGAGCTGAAGATGACGGTGCAGAATGAGATCACAATGAGCGAAATGATGGACGCGATGAGGCCACGAGGCATGTTTTTGGTGGGTTCGATAGTCTCGTCGATAGCCAGGGGAAGCTCTTCAATACCAAGATAGAACCATAGCGTGAAGGATGCACCTTCAAGAATACCATCCCAGCCGTTGTAGTTCCAGTCGCGGTCGACTACCCACTTTTGATAGTCGATCACGGTGGCAGCTCCGATGTAGAACACGGACAGCAGGATCACCGAGACAACCGTCACGAATACCTGGACACGGAACGTCATCTCGACACCGACGATGTTGAGCGTTACGAAGATAATGTAGCAGGCGATCCACCAGATTGGACCGTAGTCCTCGCCAACACCAATGAGCTCGGCAAAGTAGGAGGCGATACCCGTAGCTGCAACGGCTGTAGTCACTACAACTTTGAGGCATTCGGCTATACCAGCGAAAAACGCTGCCGTCTTGCCAATACCGTGCAGCGCGAACACGTACGGACCGCCGCCGTGAGGCACCGTAGCCGACAGCTCAGCAATGGAGAACGACAGCAGCACGTACTGAACCGTCACGATGGAGAGCAGGATGAGAAGACCATCGAAGCCAGCGACCAGCGACGACTGCCAACCGTAGAAATTACCGCTGATAACTGTGCCCACACCCAACGCCCACAGATGCGGCACCTTGGCGTAGCGATTGGAGTTCTCGCCTTCGATAGCGGGGCCGTTGATACTCAAGCTCGAGATGCGATTCATCTGGAACAACTACTTGGAACGCGGTGGTCAGGGCTGTTGGAAGTAGTTCGCTGTAAATTGCAAAGTGAGCGATCGAGAGTGATGCCATTTTCGAGAATCGGGCCAAGACTTCTAGGTCTGCGATGAAGAGATCGCAGACCCGGCACAGCGGCAGGGCATTGCACAGCTGGAGTGTTCTCGAGAGCGCAAAAAGCGCAATGTGCGAGCGTACGCGGTTCCAAGGGCAACCAGTGCAACGCGAGTCCAAGGTCTGGATCCTGCGCAGATTGGGCAGCACACACGACAATTCGGGATTGACAGTCCGAGCAACGGGGTCCAAGATTAAAATTGTCTGTCCGGTTCCATGATGAAAATCTAGCTTGACGGCATGCCACCTTTTGCAGCGGATGCCTTCAGCGAGTACCGATCAACTGAGATGGCGTCTCAAGCTGTTTGCTTGGGGAGGGCAACATCTAGGTGAGCCTGTCTCAACCCCGTCTTTGGATTGCCATCTCGGTCAGCACACAAACCGGGCAGTGCACTGCAGCAAATTCCGACGCTGGAATGCACCTTGCTTATAAAGCGAGCGTTATAGGATCTCGCCGTTACAGGAACTAACGTTAATTTTGCGGGCGAAGATCACTACCAACATTTGCAATTCTACCCAAGATAAACGAGCTGAGCTGTTCCCGACACCGGCATGAATGGGAAGCGCAAGGTTAGATCGCTCAGAGCCGGGCGTAAGGCCCCACCTGAAATATACGGAGGCCGGGGGATGCTTACGAAGATGCTCTGCAGACTTGGCACGACTTTCTTGTTGCTTCAAGCAAGTTCAGCGGAGATCGTCTGCAGATTGCAGACTCCAGTGGCTCGGAGCACTGCTCCTTGAACCAACACCACAGGGGTTGCAGCACGAGCTCAATCCCTTACATGAACTTGCAGCAAGGAATTGAGCTCGAATTTGACTCGTGAATCGCAAGGTATCCAGGATCGTCAGACTGCGGTGCCTTGAGTTGCCACCGAGACTCATTGACTCCACGGGTGGAGCGCATCCCGATCTGTACACGTGTACAGTATGTGCAAGAACTTCAGTTTTGCTTTTGAGTGCGCATGCACATCGCTGAGGCAGGGCGTTTAGTCACTAAAGGTACTAAAGTTTAGTGAAGGACCGGAATGGCTGTCACCACCACCTTTGACCATCAAGAGCCCAATGTCCAAAAATGCAAGAATGGACGGCTACTCCATTCCGAAGCCATTTCCACCGGTGAGGTGGTGACGAGTATCGGCGCAGCGAAATCGCCCCGGCCTTAAGAAGTGTTCAACCAGAAGCTCAATGTGCGAGCGTACAGGGCGGTCAAAAGCTGCCCGAGCAAAAGTGCATCAGGTTGACAACCTGAGGTTGTTCGACGCGGACGGGGCGTAGCAAGCAGAGTTCACGCTGGTAATCGCGATGTTTGGAGTCCAAACTTAGTTTGGCAAACTACAGTGTACATGTAGCAACAGGTTTCACGGCCCGTGATTCACGGCAGATTACCTGCCAGTTGACGGTCTTTTTAATCTGATGCAATCATCCAAACGATTTGTGGTGTTGTCGAAGTTATGGGAAATTAGGTCAGCACAGGCGTGGGTCCGATAACTTACCGCAGACTGGGTTTTAAGCGAGCGGACGTCTCACCAATCGAGCATACCCTTCGCTACAAAGTTCCGTGGTAACGAAGGACGGCTAGATGTAGGCAAAAACACGCATGTATCATCCTCATCAACAAAAAGCAGGCTGCTTATTGGTCATGATACTTCAACTTGTATATTGACAATCCTTGTAGGAGCATTTCAACTTCTGCAAACGCACAGCCATAAAAACACTTCAAAACTTTATTGCAATTACAAAACGTTATGCTCTTGGACTGCACTATCAGAGTGCAGTTGCATCGGCGCTTCAAACAGGTACAGTCGATGAGGGATTTCAAACCTTGGACGAGGCGTTGCTCAATAGGTTTTCACGCAGTTTTGGCGTCGGGGCTGCCTCGATGCGTGGCTTCACACGCAAGAAGAAGTACACAGCACCGACGACAAAGTACAGAATCGCCACAATAATGGACGCCAGGAACTCATAGCTAGACGTTCCGCTGTAGATAATCGATACCATACCGGCAACACACAGCGCCATAGACACCAAAGCACCAGGAATCCCAAAAGGACTTCGGTAAGGTCGAGGTCGATTGGGCTCCTTCATACGTAGTCTGATGAACGAGGTGAGTTGGAAAGTGTACGAAGTCACTGCCCCAATCAGTGCGAGGTTGATCAACACTGACCCGAGACGCGTGTCACCGATAATGAAGTGCAACAGCAGCACAACAATGAAGCCGATGGAGCTGCCAGCGATCAACGATACATACATCGTGCCTCTAGTTGGGTGTAGTCTCGTCAGGATCTGTGGCAAATAACCATCACGAGCAATAGCGTACAGTAGCTGACCCATACAGAAGACGAACGAGTGGAAACTTGCAATAAGACCGAGAATAAGCATCCACGAGAAGCCCGATGTAGTGCTGTTATCACCAAATACACTCTGGTAGCCAGTGAGAAGCGGAGACGAACTGTTGTACATCTCCTCGGCACCAGGGGAGATCATCGAGTTGAAAATTACGGTACAGAATGCCAGGCACACGAGCGTGGAGATAGATGTCACTAATCCGATCGGCATGTTGCGTTCCGGGTTGACAGTCACTTCAACAGCAAGAGGAAGTTCCTCGATACCCAAGTAGAACCAGAGAGCGAATGAATAGCCTTTAACAGCGCCATCCCAGCCTCCAGGGTACTGCCAGTCGACGTTTGAGACCCACTCAGTATACGACACTTTGGTCGCAGCACCGATGTAGAACACTAGTAGAATTAATACCGACACGACCGTCGTGAAGGCCTGGACACGGAACGTCATCTCGATACCGACGATGTTGAGCGACACGAAGCTTACGTAGAAAACGAACCACCAGATCGGACCGTAGTCCGAGCTCAGACTCAGGAGCTGATTCATATACGAGCTGATACCCGTGACGACAACAGCGCAAGTGATGACGACCTTGAGGCTCTCGGCCAGACCGGCGAAGAAGGCGGCGCGTGGACCGATGGCGTGCAATGCGAAGATGTAAGGGCCACCTCCTGACGGTACCGTGGTGGACAACTCGGCGATGGAGAAGGCTAGTAGAACGTAAAGCACCGTGACGAAGGCCAGGATGATGAGCAGTCCGTCAAAACCCGCCACGAGGCCCGACTGCCAGCCGAAGAAGTCGCCGCTGACGACGGCACCCACACCCAGCGCCCAGAGGTGAGGCGCCTTGGCGTATCGACCGCTCTCGACTGAATCGTTCACGCTCTCCGACATGGCGCTTGATCAATAGCGAGGCGGATGAAGAATGGACAGCTAAGAACTCGACTTTCCGCTGATACATGCTGGCAATGTGTTTGCATGACCGTCAGATGTGCAGACAGATGCAAGTAGATGCCATCCCTCCCGAAAACTGTTTAACAGCTTCAACTTGGCAGAAATCGGAATCTCTTGGTGGCACCTGATTGGTGCTTTGTCGACTTTGAGCACTGTAACTGGATGAAAAATGCTGCTCACGCCTGTAGTTCGTTGATCGTACCACAAAGTTCAGGCGGACACCGAAGGGGAGTCACGCAAAGGGAACATGTTCAAGCAAACACTAGCGAGATGCTCTCGCGTCCGGATCTTTGATTCGCCAAAATTTCGGTTTTAGCCTCTTCTGATTGGTTAGAAAAGATACCAGATACATCACTGACGTAGCGCATCCCCACTTGACGATCTTCCTGCAGCTCAATA